CCAATCGATGCTGTCCTTTTTAGGGACCATGTGCAACGGAGATGCATATGGGCTACTTGACGGTCGTATGATTCCTAAGTCTACCATATGGTCGAACTCGTCGTGATGTGATGTGTAACGTTGCTGGTTACACACGGTAGTTTCGGTTGAGTTTGTTGTATCCCAGGGTACTTATCGAGTAGTGGCTGATAGAGTGGGTCTATCATATGTTTAATTGTGACTGGGGATAATTTGCAACTAGTAAAAGAAGTTACGCAAACGGATAAATTAGTGTTTCCGTGTACTAGCCTCCGTTTGCGCGCGTCGATCATCAGATTATGGTGTTGTAGAAGATCCATACCAATGATTGGCATAGAAACATCAGCAACAACGAAGATCCAGTGAATGTGTTTGTGTAAACCCACGTTAAGGTAAACGTACCTTTTGCCATACGTAGCGATCAGTTTTCCGTTTGCCGCCTGTAAGTTTAGAGTCGATTCGTGAAGTCGGTCGTTAGGATTTGCTGGGAGAACACTAACTTCTGCGCCAGCGTCGACGAGGTAGCGAACTCTCGTTGTCACATCTGTGACGTATAACAGACGGCTATGTTCGCCGGCTACGGTTGCCGTTAACGCGTGCCGGCTTGGAAGTTTCCCGAGTTGTTTTTCGTGTCAGTCGGTTTTGAGTTGGGAAAATTGCAGGGTTTTCTGCAATTTCTGGAAGATTTTCCATACTGGTTATGATACCAGCACCAGTCGGGGTTATCCGTCTCTCGTGGTTTAGAGACAGATCGCTTACGAGAAATGCTTCTACGTGGGGTGCGCGATCTCTTACGGTCGGTACGAAGACTAAGGTAACGCGTGAGTGTATGACATAACTCGGTTATATCATTCTGAGTCGTTTGAGGTTTTTCTTTGACTGAAAATACCTCGGTAGTAGGTTTCGTAATTTCTAAAATGCGGTCGGCAGATGCAGCTAGCTCGTCTAAGGCGTTGTTCTGGAACGAGACCAGAACTGCTTGTACCTGTTGGGGAAGTTTTGACAAGAAGAGTTGTTTGAATAGACCTTCGTCGAAAGTTCTTGGGCCTATCACCTCTCTCATCCGTTGCAACATGTCCGTCGCAGAACCTTGTTACAGGTCGATATTGTTGAAGAGTTGATCTAACCTTTGTCGATCGGTTAGGTCTCCTCGTTTAAGAATCGAGCGTTTTGAGATTTCGTAAGGATCGGAAACATCACTAGTAAACATACTAGGTGTTACGTACCTGTTGAATTCGCGCGGTAGTGTCTTAACTGCTGCGAGGAATTGTGCACGTGTGTCGATCACGCCGTGCTCGGAGAAGTCGGTTTCCGCGTAGCGAAACCAGGCTTCGATGTTGTCGGGCCAGAAAGGCATCAGTTGAAACGAAGGTGGGGACAAAGACTTAAGCTTGAGTACTTTAGGCGTCTGTTCAGTCGTGATGAAGTATGATAATGAACGAGGGGAAAAATATATATATATCCAAGAAGAAACACGAAAAAAATCACAATCTTTAAAAAAATAAAAAAATAAGGCAATGATATATAAAAATCCCAAAAGGGAACAGACTCACAGTTGCAATTAGGTGTACCAGATCACGACGGTCTCACCAATGAAGATGTCACAGGTATTCAGTGTTTGACAACGCTTCTACCAGTAACACCTTCTAATGTATTTCGTTCCCACCCAGAGAAATCAAAAGACAGAGTCGAGGAGATCGGAAGAGTATATTTGGCGATGACCAATATATCGGAATTCTCTGATCTAATCTGGCTAGCGATTGCGGTTGATGTTGAGCACGGCGTTACCACGCGTGATCTGGTGCGGATGCCTGACAGAGCGCCTTCAGCTAGATGAGTCCACTAAAACATATGGTCAGCATCCAATGTCGAAAACTTAGAGCTATTTATTTTGGGGATTTATTTACCGCTACAATACGTACCCTTTGTTGTAGCAATGATGGAGAAGTAAAAAAACCGGAATCTCGCCTTATTAATAACTAAAAATTGCATATAAATCAATACATCTATGCTAAATCATTACAGAGATATCAAATATTATAAAGTGTTTATTGTACTTTGAATTTTTGTTTTATGTTGCTCAAGTGAGAACTGTTGCCATAACTGATTCCTAGTAGGTGAATTGAAAATGTCTCTTCACACAGAAATCGCTAGAGATAGATCTTTTGGTATCCCTGATCCACATACTGTAACTGAACTGTCAAACTATGTAAATTTTTAATTTCGTTTTTCATAATATTTCAGATGCAAAATATTTTTCAACAAATGCAAGAAACATTACAGCAAACAAGTGAAAAAATAACTACAAGGAATATCCTTTTTCTCTCCATTGGAGTTGTCTGCTCTAACTAGTATTTGATCTTAGATGGATTTTGTTCTTCATCGTTTCTGGCTATCGTCTAAAAACTTAGTAATGATTCAATAATATCGTTCATCTTCCGCAAAATTTAATTTGCTGAAAGGTGTAGTACAGTGTAAGTTATACTTTAGTATGCGTAATAGAGGTCTGATGATGAGAAAATTGGCACATGTGACTCTGATTGCCAGTTGACGTGCATAAAAACAGATAGGTATTTCTATTGGCCATAAAAACAGTTTCATTTGGGCTGCCATACGTCAGCAATGTAAACTTGGCACGTATACACACACGTTCATGCTAAAAACATATATCAGGAGGATGCGAGTATAATTTATTATAGTAACGTCATCCTTGTTAGTATGAAAGACCAAACATAAACAGTACGATTCGCGAACGAATTTACGAGATAGAATAGTATATTGATGATCATGAAGTTTGAAATGTAAGACGATAACGGAATATTGTCCCAGAACAGTTGTGATGAACTTTGAATTATGTAATATAACATTCCTAAAAACTGATTATGGAAGTCTCGGGAACTCCAACCACGCAGTCTGTACTTGCGAACATGGCTCGGTCTAAAAGAGGATGACTTCATCAAGTGATAGAACATCCTGTTTTAGCTGTGTCGCAACTTACTTCCCTACCAGTCAAATAAAGTGCTTAAAACAATTGATTCGTAGTCTCATCATGTAGTGTCCTTGACTATATTTTAAGACCGTCTTGAGAAATCAAATTTAGAAGCCTGTAATCTTTTGCATGGTATTCTACAAGAACATGTAAGAGCATTAGCTCAACCTACTATGCTTATTTTTCATTCTCCAATTACTTTCTTATATAGCAACTTTATCCACTTGAAGAGTATGATAACGTGAACCCATAGACGTATCTCACTAGTTCGCTAATAATTGACACTTTTCCTTAACCACAGCTTTCTACTTGAAGAAATGGGGTCGAAAATAGATTCGTTAGAGAAAAATGTTGCAGACCTCATGACACAAGCTGGAGTTCATGAAGGTTAACCCTTCAACATCAACAACTTATTATATGATTTCTAATATACTTATGTAACCGAAAATGACAATATATCCAACCACACTTTTTTTTCAAATAATCGAGGTCAGAACAACTAGTAACTGTATAGCCAATCACTTGACAGAATACTACGAGTAATCAATTATAACCACTCATTGAATAGTTAGAAGATGAGATCGTTAATGAAGAAAATACGATCCGACAACGTACATATAGTCAACTTCAACTTATTAGAACGGTTTACACTGGCATGATGTTCGAAAATAAAGTGACAGATAAAATACAGAGATAACTAGATGACATTCGACCAATCATTCATCGATTCGCAATGGACACATAGGACAGTAAAACGATTAAAGTATGATTATTACAGCCTCTTATGGGTTAGGATAAATTTAATGTAGTAAAACCCGCTCAGAATCATCCGTAATGCATTGGCAAAAAGAGAATGTGAACACTTTCTAATACCTTTTGTGCTTAGCATTAGTTGTTGAACTTCACGTAGGGAAAAGCAGTCTCGCTTTGGAACTTTAGAAGGCCGTGGAGGAATTTCGCTCGAATATATATATTGACGTTGAAAAACTAACTGAGCAGATGATAATTTTCACCTGAATCTACCCTAATGAAATTTAATAGTTTTAAACGTCTTTTAGGATAAGGCAAGGAGTAGATACGGACCACAAAATTTGAATTCGGTGGTGCATCAACCAATTTTTGAGCTAATGAAACTTTGCCGGCGACCTGAGTTTGTAGTATTTCCATGGTTTTTAAAGTTATATAGGAACACCAGGGTGGAAGCAACTATCTGTGAAGTACTGGCATAGTTAGAAAAGTGACAGGTTACTGCGATCAACATCAAGAAATTTTTCATTACCCATTCTTTTCTGTTGTAGTCAATCACTTCAAACCTGTTATCGTTGGACACCACAAAGGCTTAGAGATACATGTAGATGAGTCACCAAAGGCCTACCCGGTAGTGATTCACTTTACTAAACGCACAATTGCTTTACATCTAGTCATAACATCGAAAAACAGCTGTCACCATGTAAATACGCATATAAAGTTATTCCCTTCACTATACTCAAACACGCACTGCTGGCATTACTGAAATGTAGTTGCTAATGAATGAGATAAAGATGTGATGCAAGACCCAATATCTTCATGCTTCATAAATATACAGCAGGCTATCTTGCGATGCAACAGTTTACACCTAATTTTATGGTTAGATAAGTAGTCAGGAAACTGAACTGTTTTTGTAGCTACGTGGATTTATGATCTATGTTGTATGAATTGGGACGGTATTTAAGATGGAAATGATAGACAATATGCTCGTTGTTACCATGTGGATTATATTGGCTACTTGTGGAGGTTGAGAAAATCACTTCATTGGTTTGCCATATCTCTGGACCATACAGCAATTTATCCGAATATAACCCTCGTGATTTAGAGGGGCAGGGCTGAAGAGGTTCTGGACAAACACACGTCAAGTATTGTGAAGAAATACCGTAAAATAGTTGGACATTGGTAGTCAAAAAGATTCACAGAGCTGGAACCGTTTGCCACGTCTAGGAAATACAAACGGAAGAGGTAGTACTTATAATTATATTTTAAATGTATGGTGATACAAAGCACTGCTCAAAAAGATCGGACATTATTTTTAATGAAGGGGAAGCATGTATTTACACTGTAAAAGAAAATATGTACGAATCCGAAACTGTTCGAAGCGAATAGTGAATAGGCTTGGTGTAGCCATTATCTATTGTAATAGTCCGTTGAATGTTGAGTAATGAGTCAAAAGAACAATCCTGCTTGATTACTATTATATGTTTTTCTCCATATAATTGCACGAGTAAGAATGAGAGGTTTGGTGAAAGCAGTATGAGTAGGAGTGACTGGCACCTCTAAAAACAAAACAACATTAAAGTCAATTAACTACTTATCATGTTTTATACAACATATGATAGTGAAATGAAAATGTTTAAACATGGTGACAATGGCAAGATTACTTAGAAAAAATGAAAATTCTTAACGAAATAATTTTTAAGAAATATCAGAATATATTTGCGGTCAATCTATCCAAATATTCAGAAACGCTTATCAATATTGTACAATTGGACATATTTTTACTTATTTAAACCTCAAACTCGACATAACGTGGAGACCAAAGGATGTAGTAATGGTATTATTTTTTATTTGAATATAAGGGGACATCAGATACATGTGCGACACACATCTCGTTATATGATGGTTAACATACAAAAGGACCGATTTACAAATAACCACATGTAAACATGTATTTTTGTGAATTACTTATATTAAAAATAATGTCGGCTCAAAAAATGTTTCCCAAAAAGTGTTTGAAGTATTGCCATTTGTCTCAGAATATAGAATATAGATACTAACTGATCATCTAGTTATAATTTTGTGATAATGTTCAGTTTCTTGCTTGTGATTAACATCATAATGACTATGTTGTTTTTTGAACCGACTAATCATCACGTGACTTATTTGGCAATCGGAACATGACTTATAAAATCACAGCTCTGCAACAAACCAATGACGTGTCGACCGGTATGAGCAGCCTAGCATACCTATCGGTCATTTTCTTCCTAGCCCTGCCAGTTGAGTTCAGAAAACCAATACCAGCTTCCACTATACGAATAATTTATTTCAAACAAAACTGGTTTATATACAAGCCAAGCGGACCATATCACACTACAAAATAGGAAACAATACTTGTACAAGATCAAGCCAAAAAATGACTGTGATTGCGGGAGACTATAATCAATAAACGGACATAACTTAAGATCAGGAAATCGTATATTAATAGTCTATAAGTCAAAATAAGTTTATAATAAGAGGGATATTAATATACATAATCTAGTTACCGAATAGTTATACGATGAGAATATACGTGTAATATTCGTCCATAAATAGATCGCAGAGGTTACCTATAATTTGATCGTCAGTAGGATATAACACACTGAACGACAATGATAGTGAATTATAGATCTTATTTAGTTCGTATACACTCTACCGACAAGCTATGTTCGTACAAAGTAGATAATAAAAGTATAAATAAGCATTATATTTGGGGTACCTATATTTTAGATATGCTGAAGTTGGATGGTAGATAAGCAAATGAAAGATACATAGTGTATAAAGCATTGAAGTTCGGTAATACACCGACTCAGAGAGTAACAAGGTGACCGATTTTTTATAAGTCATGAAGGAAATGGACAAACACACGTGTATAAAACATGTCCAGAGATACACGTAACCAAACAGGGGCAAATACATAGATGAAAATATATGGGAATATTAGAACTTATATGTCCAAATGTTCGAATAAATCACGGTGTGTAACAATAATAAGTGCGTCGTCTGGCCACCTGAAATTATTTAGCCAAGATAAATATCCTAATCTACAAATATATTGCAATTTTACTTAATAATTAACTAGAATTTCTGAGGAACCCGAAGTGACCAGTTCATTATTGACTAAAAATGTTTTTATTAGTTCACGAAGATATGGTTTGTTCCTTACTAGACTATGATTACGAATTAAAATAAAAGAATAATAACCGATTTTAAATGGCCAATTTTAGTACAGAATAGTATCAGAAGGCTGACAGATAGTGTGTAATAGTAGTATTGTGGTGTATGCTACTTATGCCAACAGACATAAATAGTATGTAACACCAAACAGAAGTTGAATGCCTGTAAAAAGAAAGTTGAGAAGATTACACTCAAGAATACGGGAAGGGAAACTTAAAGGAATTGAGAAAAAAATGATTTATGCATCGATGTCCATAATTAGGAGCACTAGGTTCACTGAGTAAACTGCTTGAAGATAATTCAATTAATGACAAAACTTACACTTAACAGCAGTGAAGGCATACGCGAAATTACGAAGTTGAATTAATCCTTCTATTATTATCTACGTTACCTAAACATTGAGTAGTTAATCATTAATAAAACCTAGTGAAGTAGAACTTATTAAAACACAAAATATAAACAAGTTTTGACCTCTCAACCGCTATACTGAAGAGTGAGAATACAATTCACAAAAACAGACAAATGAAGGACGATGAATTGGGCCAGCCTGAAACTGATCAAACCGAACAAGAGTATGCGATCGATCAAGAAACAGAGTTCTATTTCTAAGTTAAGAGAGATACACTATTGATGGCTTAATTTTCTAAGTGAAAATATATTTTGTATATATGAATGAGTAAACAAACATTAACGATTTAGCTTAGTCAATGGACTTCCTCTCCACTTTCCATCGTTTTACTCACGAGGTGATAGGGCTCGTGTTTAGTAAGACTGGGTATCAATATTAGAATCGGACACTGCACATCAGCACAAAATTAGCATTTATTTTCGTTACTGAATAGAAAACGTTAGTTCATACATCAATAGTGAGGTTTTCAGTAGGTTAGCCAAACGAGTTTGCTATTTCATCTGCATCACAGTGCAAATGAAGAAAATGCCTATCTCAAAAATCAAACATAAATTTGACAACAAATAAGTGAGAAACTGTGCTGAAACAGTGGTTCTTGTGAGATAAGAATTCCCTATTATTGATTGCATGTTATAATAGTAGCTCGACAACTCAAAAAGTATATATATATATATATATATATATATATATATAATATTTCTCCCACAATTATTTTGGTGGATACAAAAGTGCATGTAAAAACTAATAACGCTAAAGGTATAAAATAATCTTTTAACGCCAACAACTAATGAGTTACTTATATGACACGTCTAAATCGACGAACTTAAACTACAATCATTCTCGTAATTCATAATCTTTGTGATGGTTAAAAATGTCAATGTCTACACAACCCACCCTCAGACCAGCCTGTTTAACATAGTAGGAACTAAATCAGAATGTGATCCAGGCAATGTAGCTCTTGGCTGAGTCATCCGATAGGCAGGTTCAACAATCATGTCAAGGTGTAGCAGCTACAGTCGAGTTGCAGGTGCGCCAACACCTTGTTTCTCCAGATTCTAAGTTCCTAGATTCCACAAAAATTCTTTTATATTTTCTTGGATCCCTGAACTTTCCTATCATCACTAATACTGTTCTGCTTTCACTACTATGGGATTTGCCTTAATAATTCAATTTCACAGTGCTAATGAGGTACGTCAACTTCAATAGATGTAAACACGTTCTAGGTACTACACTGCGTTCGACTGACTGAGTATATTACCAATGGAGATGTAAGGCAAAACTTAACACAAGTAAACAGTATTATTTGAAATTTCTATATCGCTACAACTGGAAACAATCATAGTCGACTTTATCTATAAAAAAAATCGATGCTTAATGTGTAGTGTGATGCGCCTAGCCAAAACTATAGTATAAATTAGTACGAATGTTTTATCTAGTAAGCTCAACTAGTTACACATTATTCACAAAATAACAACATTGAAAAAAACATTTACAATTTGGTTCAGTTGTTAATAGGATAAACATTATTTCAACAGACTGGTTATTAATATAAAAAATAATCTTTAGATCCTAACGTCATGGTACGACCAAATATAGTTCCAATATTGGGGACTACTGGATACAGACTACCCATACGAAGATGCTATGAATTACTATTGAGGGATGTCAATTCTTCATACATATCTTATGAAGTTTCAGTTAGCGAAACAAGACTCTCAATTTAGGGTTTAACAATCTGTTTTTACTAGCTTGTAAGGAAAATTCTGATGTACTTAAAGATTTGATAGATGTGTGCGCCATGTGCAGTAGAGATATGAAATTCAGCCTATAAAACTTCAAGTAAAGGGTGATCCAATCTTTCTTAAAAGACGAATAATTCCTTATGGTCTTCCAGAAGCAGTACATAAGACAATAAATGATTTGTGTGAGAAAGGTATAATTGAACCGATTCAGTCTTCAGCATGAGGTACTCCTATTGTTACGCCATTGAAGTTGGATGGCAATACCTTTAGAATATGTAGTGACTTTAGATTAACACTGAACTCCCGTTTGTTGAGACAGACATGCACGACGTTGAAGTCTAAATCGACTTAATGATTCTGAGAGGTTCTCGAAAGTCGACTTAAAACATACTTATCTTCCCAAATAAATGCTCCAGTACGGCCGAGAGTGGAGACAGTCTGCTTCTCTCGAAGTGCTCTCACATAGCCACGCGTATACAGCCACTGCCAGGGAAATCCTACTCACAGCATTCCCGCGGCACGGGTGTTGTTTATAAAATTGAGAGGACGAAAAGCGAATGTCCGGCTCTTTACTCAGGTTGGTGGATACGGAGGGTCCACCCAAACCTATGGTGCACATAGGCTCCAGGATCCTGAAGGAACAAATGGCGTGTGAACTAACTGTTGGTCACCAACTACCATGGGACTGCATCTCCTGACGTCGTTCCACTGCTCTGGCTGTGACCCCCTAAGAAAACTATCTGCTCCACTTTGAGCATCCGGGCAGTACCACAGCACACACAAATAAAATGAAATGGCAATAATCACTGGAAAGACTGCTCTCGCTCCAATTAAAATTCAGACAACTCACATGCATTTGATAACATTCATTGTTATCTTTCTTTATATTCCACGTCACTTATCTACTTCCTCCTACTCTAACTTTGTGTATCTTTATTTCTCAACCTCGACCGTTGTTGCTACCTTGACGTGGTGGTTGGGCTTCCTATCGTGATGAAGCAACCGAGCTATACTGGCTGGAACAACCGTTCCTCAAGGTCCTACCATGTCAGACAGGTCGGTTGAAGAGCGATAAGACTAAAAGCAACAAACCCAAGGTCCGAAGGCGAAGTTGTACTGCTGACTGTACAGAGGTGTGACAGCAGTAAGGAGTTTCCTTCAGACAACCAGCGTGACAGCGATGCTGCCTTCC